AGATACAATTGCTCTTGTGTCACTTATGGTAGCAGTAGCGCTAGCAACAGTGACCGGTGCGCTTACAGAGCTCGGCAATGACGTCGTAGGAAGCATGTGGGGAGCGACGGGGGTATCCACGCATTTTCGAGTTGTTCGCACTTTCACCACTTCACCTGTTGGCAAACGTTTGCTCACCGTCCTGTAACTAATAAATATCGCCTACTCATAGTTTTTTTTTTTCAAAAATTTTATAAAAAGTAAAAAAATACCACAGGAATAAAAATCCTGTACCAATTATAATGAAGACAAAGCATCTGCTTGCAGCACAGAAAACAATCATTTACTCTATTTATTAGGACCACTTCTGAACCTCAAACCAGTCGGAACTCAGAAATTCTGGTCGTCACTTCGTCTAAGACAAAACTTAAGAAGGGATAAGGGTGGGCTAAACATGATGTTAAGGTTATGGTCTAATCACATGTAAGTGAATGCAGATACTTCCAGTATTTAAAAATCTGTAAAAAAAAAAAAAAAAAAAACTGAAATTCTCATAGCGATTTTTTTGAGTTTGCTCGTGTTAGAAGCAAAGATTAGTCCTGTTTCGGATTTTACTCATTTTGGATCTCAATCCGAGAACACAGGTAGTACTAACCTCACTGATTTCGTGGTGTCGAGGGCAATCGGAATTGGTGCATTCGTCATCAGATGACTTCTGATGGCACCACCACCTGAAAACTGTTGTAGTTGTTGCTGCTGCTGTTGTTGTTGGCCTAAGAATTTGTGCTTCTGATGCAAGGGACTGGAAGGAAGTAGATCCGATTTGCTGAGGCCAAGGCGCATCAATAAGCCAGTATCTACTGAGCTCGATTCGTCGCCGGCTGCTGCTGTTGCTGCTTCACCCTGATTCATTTCACCATTTCCTGCACCGCCTGTATCTTCATCTAAATTTGCTGTTGCTGCATTTCTTTTTTTTTGTTAGAATTAAAATCCAAGCTCTAACGCACCACGTTTGCCGGTGCAATCATGCGTTTTCGCGACAAACTTACGGCAATCAGAACATCAACAACGCAAATGTCTCCTACAGTTTAACATTTAGACAAATGTTAGCTGCATTTTAACCAGTATTTTAGCCAGTAGTGCAGAGGGAAAGGGCTTCGTTTAGGATGGTAGTGCTGTACCACGGAGCCGCGTGCACCTCCAGCATGCACGATTATCAGTTTTGCATGAAGACCGATCGCCTTCTCGGCGAGCGGCAAATATTCTGGAAAAGTAAGTATTTTCCAGACGGACGATAAGTATTCTGAAGAAATTTCAGCTACTGTTTTCCAGTTTTCGAGTTGGTATAGTGCCGATTAAGAAATCTGACGTGTCTGCACAGGTAACATAGGTGCGCGCAACAGCTGAATTTGAAACGTTCAGCTCGCACACGGACAGGGAACATCAGCATGGAATTCAAGCTTTCTAGCTTGTCTGGTTTTCGAAATCGTTCCTTCGCTAAAAAATTTGGCATG